GGTCCAGGTCCAGGTCCACAGGACCCCACCAGTAGGGTCCTGGCTGGAGATGTCTCTGGAGCAACAGGGTTGGGGTTGCCACCATGGGTGCCCCTGCCTCCCCAAAGCCTCTGTTGCCCCCCTGAAGGGCCGGGGTGAGGGCGCAGCCCCGTGCCTGTGTCTCACCTTTGCTCCAGCGCTGACTCAATGCCCCACGCGCCGCTTTGCGCAAGAGCCGTGCTGGCAGGCAGACTCTGCCCGGGCGGCCGCCGCCGCCCCGGTCCCGGCCAAAGAGCAGGCACAGCCCCTACGTAAAGGCAGCCGTGCCGGGGCGCTGGCTCACTGCTGTGCCGGGGCCGAGCGCAGGAGGTGCTGGTGGGAAGGGGTCTCCTGGAGTGGAGAGGAGCTGGAGAGACCGCCCCTGCCCGGGGCTGAATCCTTCCTCCCTGGCAGGCTGGACCGTGCCCCTTGCGAAGATGGATTACGCCAAGTCCCTGAGCCTGCGCCTGGCTGCCCCTGTCTCCAAGTAAGTGCCTGGGGGCCGCTGTCCCCAGGGTGGGGGACATCGGAGCCCTCCCTGCTTTGGCACCTCTCGGCTACTTGAGTGGATGTGCTGCTCCCCACTGAGTTTTGGGGGGCTGGCGCTGCCTGGGGCTGGCAGTGGGTCTCGGGACACCCCAATCCCTCCAATCCCTCCCCAGATGTGTCTCGGCAAGTGCCTCCATGACCCAGCAGCTGCTGTCGAGCCCAGCCCCGCGGCCCCGACCCTACCGCATCTGCAACTGGGACCGCAGCCTGCGCAAGGGCATCATGGCGCAGAGCCTCGCTGAGCTGCTGCGCCAGGTGAGCTGGGGGCTGTCTGTCTGTCTGTCTGTCTGTCTGCCGCCCATCTGTCCACCCACCTATTCATCTACCTACCATCTCTATGCATCCATCCATCTAACCCTTCAGCCACCCCTCCATCTACCTAACCCTCCGTCCCTCCGTCCGTCCCTCCGTCCGTCCGTCCAGCAGGCCAACCCTCCATCCCTCCAGCCGGCCAAGCCAGCCGACCGGCCGGCCCTCCCGCCACCCCCTCCTGGCTTTGGGGTAGGGGGTGGGGGGGGGGTGTCGCGGG